CCCGATACCCGCCGGAGATAAAATCTTGGTCCCCATTTCCGCTCCCGGCGGGGTTCGGGTTTCCTCGCCCAGCCCCTGCCCCCGCTCCTTTTTTTTTCTTCTTTTTTTCTTTTAAATAAATATGAATAATTTAAAAAAAATAAAAGAAAATTAAAATAATATAAATTTTTACATATAAATATTTATAATTTTGGTTTATATATATATAAAAATAAACGAATTGAGTACTAAGTTGAGTCTAAAACATAACCTTAATTAAATTAAATTAAATTAATCCCGATAATGAATTATTAGGTCGCATTCAATCATGAACGCTCTTAATTGATAGTACTGTATATGATTAAAGGTGGGAAACAAGTACATATTTATTTCACTTATGTTCTTTTTAAATAATATTTGTAAAAGTCCCTTAAAGAAACCAAAAAATTTTCCAAAAGAAAAAACTGCCAAAAGAAATTTTTTCATCATCAATGAAATTAATGTACTTGTTTATTTTATTTAGTGAACTAAAAGAAAAGGATTTCACTTCTCTAAAATAAAGATATTTCACTTTAGAGAATAAAATATAATAATGATGGTTGAATAAAAAATTAATAATAAATATTATAATTAATTTTAAATTTTATTATACACTTAATTTTATCATAATTTTTATCATTAATTTCTTAATCAATAATTATCATACTTTATCTTCTAAAATGTTGTTTTCAATTTTAATCCGAAAGAAACACAAGGTCAAATATCGGTAAAGCACATGTAAATTTATCTAACTCTGATGTTAGATACGTTGGTAGTAATAAATAAACAAATGGGTTTAGTTAAGATCAATAATTTAATACTACTATAAGATTTCTATAGCGTATTGAGAAAAATATAAGGTTTCTAAAATGGTAAAGCGGTCCCCTCAACCACATTAAACTTTGATCACACGTCCGCTTGTTTTTATTAGAAATTTGACATTAACCTTAAAAGTTAAAATTATTATTATTATTTAACTGATTCAACCTGGCAAAATCAGTGGAATAGAAGCTCTGGGAATGGAATAGAAACGGGATTTTCAGATTCCCAGAAAACTCAAATAATATAATCCTTAGTGGGTCTGACTGGAATTTGCTGTTGTATTATAAAATTGAGCTCTGTTTTGGAATCTGGTTCAGGTCCACGTTTCCAAATGATATTTCAAAGTTTCAAACACAATATTAAATAAATATCATTGATTACTTGGAACTTTGATATGATGTCTTGGCTTCTAGCGGATAGACCAAAACTTTCATGACATTAATGTGTTTAAAGGGTAATTAAATATACAAAAAGATATTGTAATCCCCCAGAAGCTGCAAATTAGGCGGTTTACGAATTGAGTACTAAGTTGAGTCTAAAACATAACCTTAATTAAATTAAATTAAATTAATCCCGATAATGAATTATTAGGTCGCATTCAATCATGAACGCTCTTAATTGATAGTACTGTATATGATTAAAGGTGGGAAACAAGTACATATTTATTTCACTTATGTTCTTTTTAAATAATATTTGTAAAAGTCCCTTAAAGAAACCAAAAAATTTTCCAAAAGAAAAAACTGCCAAAAGAAATTTTTTCATCATCAATGAAATTAATGTACTTGTTTATTTTATTTAGTGAACTAAAAGAAAAGGATTTCACTTCTCTAAAATAAAGATATTTCACTTTAGAGAATAAAATATAATAATGATGGTTGAATAAAAAATTAATAATAAATATTATAATTAATTTTAAATTTTATTATACACTTAATTTTATCATAATTTTTATCATTAATTTCTTAATCAATAATTATCATACTTTATCTTCTAAAATGTTGTTTTCAATTTTAATCCGAAAGAAACACAAGGTCAAATATCGGTAAAGCACATGTAAATTTATCTAACTCTGATGTTAGATACGTTGGTAGTAATAAATAAACAAATGGGTTTAGTTAAGATCAATAATTTAATACTACTATAAGATTTCTATAGCGTATTGAGAAAAATATAAGGTTTCTAAAATGGTAAAGCGGTCCCCTCAACCACATTAAACTTTGATCACACGTCCGCTTGTTTTTATTAGAAATTTGACATTAACCTTAAAAGTTAAAATTATTATTATTATTTAACTGATTCAACCTGGCAAAATCAGTGGAATAGAAGCTCTGGGAATGGAATAGAAACGGGATTTTCAGATTCCCAGAAAACTCAAATAATATAATCCTTAGTGGGTCTGACTGGAATTTGCTGTTGTATTATAAAATTGAGCTCTGTTTTGGAATCTGGTTCAGGTCCACGTTTCCAAATGATATTTCAAAGTTTCAAACACAATATTAAATAAATATCATTGATTACTTGGAACTTTGATATGATGTCTTGGCTTCTAGCGGATAGACCAAAACTTTCATGACATTAATGTGTTTAAAGGGTAATTAAATATACAAAAAGATATTGTAATCCCCCAGAAGCTGCAAATTAGGCGGTTTATTGAGATTCTATCAAAAGGTCATAAGTTTCATAGACAAATTCGTACATATATAATTTTTTTTGTTGATTTAAATTATCTTTTAATATTAATAGTTAAATTTAATTATAATTATAATTTGATGTAAGTATATTTTATATTATTATCTAATCTCAGATTATCATTATATAGTAAGATTATTTACTTTTCTTATATATAATTACTTAAAAAAATTATATTTAGGTTAATTAATTTATAAAAATCACCACACTAATAGCGTATATATGAAAAATAAACTTGTATACTTATACTAAAAAGAGAAACAATTTTTTTATATTAAATACTTGTATAACTACTAGTGTCATTTTACTAAACGTGTTTATTTTCTACTCCATATTCAATAGAGAGGGTACCTTGTTATATGGTACTGTAGTAGAAAAACTCTATAGCGTATTATTGACTTAAATGCTTAATTTCTTTCTTTCTTTCTCGATAGTCGTTCTGTATTAAGAGCTTTGCCCTTTGCTTGTTTTCATGAACCAAACCTAAGCGATCCTCGCAAAACACACTCCTTTGAAAGTCACCAGAAAAGACGGCTGATCCTTCGGAGGCAGACCCCTTCTCAGGAAGCATATAATCACTTCAAATTAACTACACTTCATCACTCTCACCCTCACTATCTTAGCTTCCTTTTCTTTCTCTTTTTAAACCTTTTCAATATATGCTTCTCATCATTATTACCACCTCTCATGCACTTCTTCTAGGGTTGTTATTTGTGTTGTTCTTCAAAACTACTTTTAGGCCATCTCTTTGAAAGCACCTTCCACTTTTCTAGTTATTGTTGTTTGAAAAATCTTCAGTAGAGACACAACAAAGGCTATCTCTCTTTCCTTTTTCATTAGGGTTATTAGAACAAAATAGGCTGAGATATGGAGGAGAGAAATGATGCTGAGAAACTTGATGAAGTCATACTACCGGGGTTCAGGTTTCATCCAACTGATGAGGAGCTTGTTGGGTTTTACCTCAAGAGAAAGATTCAGCAACGCCCTTTGACTATTGAGCTCATCAAGCAGCTTGATATCTATAAATATGACCCTTGGGATCTTCCAAGTAAGACACACATATATTAAACTTATAGCTTGCCTCCATGTATATACATATTTACGCACTTTTTTGTTGTTTATTTTGCTATTGATTAAAGGTTTCTAATGGTGTACATTATCTAAACACTTTTGTGAATCTAATGTGTGTAGAGTTGGCCACCACAGGAGAGAAAGAGTGGTATTTCTACTGTCCCAGGGACAGAAAATACAGAAACAGTGCAAGGCCTAATAGGGTAACTGGAGCTGGGTTCTGGAAAGCTACTGGCACTGATAGGCCTATATACTCCTCAGAAGGTTCCAAGTGTATTGGCCTTAAGAAATCCCTAGTCTTTTACAAAGGTAGAGCGGCCAAAGGGGTCAAAACTGATTGGATGATGCATGAGTTCAGGCTACCCTCTCTCACTGACTCACTGTCCCCAAAGTACATAGACAAAACCATTCCTGC